AGGGAAATGGATGTGTGAGAGGTTTTTCTCTCATCTCAATATAACTGTACTTTTGCTCATTTTGAATAAAAGTATATTTCCTTTTCAGCAGCTAATTCTAGGTTTAGAACACTAATGCTACTAATTGATTAGCCATTTGAAGGCACCAGTTGCCAAGGGGCTTAGTGTAAATTGTTCTGTTTTCAGGGGTTATTTTGTTACTTGTCTGGTCTTGTCACAAGCATCTTACTTTTCTTGTCTCCCTTTGACACTTAGACAAGTGATACATTGGTAAAAAGCACATGACATGTAAGAAGCCCAAGCTAAACAAACTTGATCTAGAAATACCAACGTGCCTGTGTGTATTATATGTAAAAGCTGATTTGTATGGAGCCCATCCCTTAGGGAGCAGGGTATGGGTGTGAATGCAAAGCTTTGCCTGTTCTTGTGGGAACTGTTACCTCTGGCTACAGGCAATGCCACACACAGAGCAGCTGTGTTGCATTGCAGATAGACCTTGGGCATGTTGCAGCAAAGTGTGAAGGATTTATCTGATAAAGGCAGGTGCCAGGTACCTGCAGCAGTTGTACAATCTGACGCTGGTCTGAGAGAAAGAGAATAAAAAACTAAGTAACAAAGCCAAATCCTTTATGCCTTTATATCCCCACATAGATGTGTGTTCCTGCTTTTGAGGGGTGAGAGTTATAGCACTGAAATGGATTAGCTGGAGGGACAGTTGTCTTGTCTTTGGTCCACTGAAAGAAAATCTTCCCATCTCAGGACTTGCCTTCTATAAAGAAATGTTGAGTGAGTGGAAGGATTTCTTATAAAGAGTGGGGCTGGAAAGTCAGAAAGCATCTGGTAAGAGTCTGGAAATAGTGAGAAACATTTCTATAGAACTATTATATCTCTTGGTAACTTATATAGGGACAGCATTCCCTTCCAACCACACAAAGAGAAGCAGTTGGGGTTTGTGAGACGCTCAGCTGTGAAGTGAGGAGGCCATTTGGGCTAATTTTCTTGTGGGCAGTGGCTGTTGCAGGATGTGTCATGCTGGGAGCACAGGAGTGGAGGTGACTTGTCTGGATTCCTCATTCTGCCGCCCGAGCTTCCCTGGTGTCACCAAACGGCTGGATTATGGGAGATTATGTAGCAAAGCAGGCTGTGAAAGTGTACAAAAGCAGCACCAGATGTGAGGGAGAAACTCTCCAGGCTGATGCTTTGCACTGCAGGGCACTGTGAATTTACAGAAACATTTCAGGAATTTAGAAATCTTCTGTAGCTTGCTAGGGCTTGCACAGCAGGACAAAGGAACGTGCATCTGGCCTTGATGACAGCAGCAGCAGGAGAAGATGGCTGGAGGAGGCAGTGATCTGTACTTGTGTGAAATTAGGTTCTTGAACAAGTGTTGTCACTTTTCTTGCAGGTGATTGCCCTTGTGATGGATTCCTTCACAGATATTGATATCTTTGGTGACCTCCAGGATGCCTACAACAACCGCAAAGTCCCTGTCTATATCCTTCTTGACCAGGACTTTCTACCCCATTTCTTGGAAATGTGCAAGAATTTGGGAGTTTGCCCTGAGCAGGAAAGTGTAAGTACTAAATATGGGTGGGTATGAGGGTTGTTTTCATTTTTTGTGGTATGACTTAGTGTTATGGGTGTCAAAGATATCCGTACATAAAACATGAGGCTTCCTTGAAAGACTGAAGCATCTTGTTTCTTAGATAACTGATATAAAAGGGTATTTTCTGAAATACTTCTCAGCTCCTGAAGATCAGGGCTTGATATCACATGGTTTCTCACAGTTTTTCAGTCTCTAATCCAGCATCCAGCCCACAAACTCAGCAAAAAACATGTAGAAAAGGCACATCTACTCCTACCCTCCACTACCCATAGGTAGGAGCTACAGCAATGCTGGTGTGCTGGGCAGTGTGCACTGTGAGCCCTGTCCTGAAGAAGCAGCCATTTCCAAGCATTTGATTTTGCAAGATCTAAGTAGTTTTATTTTTTCACTCGAAGAGGTGCTTGCTGAGGAAAACAGAAACACAGGAAACCCAAAGGTGGAATAGCTTTGGTAACATCTCTTTTTTTCACTAAGGCATAATTGCTTTCTTTTAGAAGAGCTTGTGACCCAGTGGTTTACTTAATTCCTCTGGATATAAATGGACATGACTGTGTCATGGCTTGTCTTGGACAGGCTTATGTACACCCCAGTGAGAGTTCCTCTGGGTGAGGAAACACTCCTGTCTTCATGGGTGGTAATTAATTAGAACTGGCTGTTCTCTCCTAAGCTAACAGAACTTCAGCAGTATAACTCACAGACAATGTAAGGAAGTTAATTTAATGCCTGTCTTCCATAGTATGTGTAGCTGCTTTTAGGTATAATTGCTAAGCAGAACTTTTTGGAAGTTAAATCTGATGTTACTTTTTCTTTTCTGAAACAGCTCATGAGAGTTCGAACTCTCACGGGGAACACGTACTACATGAGATCAGGTGCCAAAATTATTGGGAAAGTCCATGAGAAGTTCATGTTAATTGATGGCATTAGAGTGACAACAGGCTCCTACAGGCAAGTATTGGGGTCTGCTGGTGCCTAATGCACCCATAGAAAGGGGGGGGGTTCTGCAAGAAGGGTGTATTAACTTTGCTTTTTCCCTTGTATTAATGAATGCCAATGGCAAGTGGACTAGTTTGAGCTAAGTTGGACTAACACAAAACTCTGAACAGCTTTGGAAAGCTGATTTACACTATTTGTAGCTAGCAAAGCACTTGACCATGGCTAAATAGAGCTCTTTCTGAAGAAGACAGTGAATTGTCTGTTGACTTCATACCTTTCTTATACACACCTTTTCTAAGATTAGTCTTGCTACCTCTAACTGTGTTGCAATACCCTGGAGATTCACATTGAATCTTTGTTTGTTTTCAATAGTTTCACCTGGTCTGATGGGAAGCTGAACAGCAGTAACTTGCTGCTATTATCAGGCCAAGTGGTTGAACATTTTGACCTCCAGTTCAGGATTCTTTATGCCCAGTCAATGCCCATCAGCCCTAAGTGGCCATCCAGCTGCAGGAACAGTGGAATATTTGATCACCTGGCAAACAGGATAGAGTCCCCTAAAGAATATACTGTGGAAGGCAACTTGAGAGCAGAATTTGCCAGATTGTCCAGTACTCCAAAGAAACTGCTGAAAGAACTTGATCTGGCTGAAGATACCCCTGGAGGCAAACTTTGTAACTTGGGGCATTCTTGCCTCTGTGAAGAGCAGTGGTTCCGTGATCAAGAGGCCATGGTGGAACGGAAGAGC